TCAGATATAAAATCGGGTCTATTATCCCTTGATTAAATTTTGGCCTTAACCTAAAACTCTTAGGAATATGGAATGTATCTTGCATCCTTTTCGCGAGTTCACACCTTTTTACGGTTTCTTCAAGGTTTTTGATTCAGGATTTTTGGTTCTTTTTCTTCCTTATCTATATGCATAGTCCCCCCAATGTTTGAACTTTGGAGTATGAAATCGCGAACACTGAATTACTCCTTCCTTTTGGTCCATTCCCTGAAAAGTAAAATACAAACGGGACTCGGAGATATACATTTAGATGATGACTGCATAACCCCTTTTTCCATCAGAAAGGTTGCAACCTAGACCGGGAATAATTCGGTATTCCACGTGTCTTTAGGATTTAATAAGTCATTCCCAAGAGGGGTAGTTTCAAGTACCTTGGGTCGGTTATTTAGGGGATCGAGGATATCGACCAGGATGTCACACACCGTATAGGGGTGGGGTGGATGAAGTGGAGGTTAGCATCGGGAGTCCTGTGTGACAAGAAAGTGTCACCGTTACTAAAAGGTAAGTTTTATAGAGCAGTGGTTAGGCCTGCCATGTTGTATGGAACTGAATGTTGGCCGGTAAAGAACTCACACATCCAGAAGATGAAAGTAGCAGAGATGAGNTTAGACCTGCCATGTTGTATGGGATTGAGTGTTGGCCGGTTAAGAACTCACACATCCAGAATATGAAAGTAGCAGAGATGAGGATGTTGAGGTGGATGTGCGGGCATACAAGGATGGATAAGATTAGGAATGAAGATATTCGATAGAAGGTGGTCGTGGCCCCCATGGAGGACAAGATGCGAGAAGCAAGACTCAGATGGTTCGGGCACATTCAGAGGAGGAGCACTGATATACCGGTGAGGAGGTGTGAGCGAATGGTTGTAGTGGGCACGAGGAGAGGTAGAGGGAGACCTAAGAAGTATTGGGAAGAGGTAATCAGGCAGGACATGGCGCGACTTAGGATTACTAAGGACATGGCCCTTGACAGGGAATTATGAAGGTCGAGCATTAAAGTTGTAGGTTAGGGGGAAGTTATGAATATTTCTACAGTGCACTAGAGTGAGACTAGCCAGTTAGGAGTTAGTCTTAGGATGATACTGGTCATCTACTGATGCAGGGCTTTAGCTGCTGGTTATTATTATACCATCCATCTATTTCGTATTTCTTATATTGTTGTTATTTTTTTATGAGTTTATTGATGGTACTAATATACCGTCTCTTGTTGCTTTCTTGAGCCAAAGGTCTCCTGGAAATAGCCTCTCTGTCCCTCGGGGTAGGGGGTAAGGTCTGCGTACATATTACCCTTCCCAGACCCCACTTATGGGATTATATTGGGCTGTTGTTGTTGTGGTATGGGCTAGCTTTTGCCTATCATCTAAAATTGTTAGTAAAATTCAAAAGAATAAAATAAAATTCTATCTGAGTAATACCTGACCATGAGTACTTCCTTCATCTAGAAATAACACTTCTTCAGATGAACATCGTTCCAATTTGATGGTAGTATGTTGCCATCCATGGTTTCTAACTCATATGCCCCCTTTCCAGAGATGCCTCGAACCCTATAAGGGCCTTCCCAATTCGGACTTAACTTTCCTACATTAGCCATTTTTATTGATCGAAACGCCTTTTTGAGGACAAAGTCCCCAATCTTGAAGTATCTCAGATTAGCTTTCCTATTGTAGTATCGTTCAATCATCAGTTTTTGAGCCGCCATCCTTATTACCGTAGCTTCTCTCCTTTCTTCTAGTAAATCCAAATTCATTCGCATTTCTTCCAAATTTGACTCCTCAGTATCATATGTGTATCTCGTACTTGGTTCACCTATTTCTACTGGAATTAAGTCTTTAGTGCCATAGATAAGTGAAAATAGAGTCTCGCTCGTACTTGTTTTTGTTATCGTTCGATAAGCCCATAATACCCTTGGTAACACTTGTGGTCGCTTACCTTTTGATTCTTCTAGTCTCTTCTTCAAGTTATTAATAATAACTTTATTTGTTGACTCAGCTTGCCTATTGGCTACAAGATGGTAAGGTGCATATGTAATCCGTTTAATCTGGCAACTCTGAAAGAACTCTATGATTTTCATGCCTATAAATTGTGGGAAATTGTCACACAAGATTTCCTTTGAAACTCCAAAGTGGAAGATAATGTTTCGCCAAATAAAGTCCCTAACTTTTTTTCCCGTAACTGTTTGAAAGCTCATGCTTCTACACATTTTGAAAAATAATCTGTTAAAACTAATAGAAACCGTACCTTTCCTTTAGCTTGAGGTAACAGACCTATGATATCCATTCCCTATTTTATGAAAGGCCATGGCGAGATAACTAAATGTAACAATTTTGTTGGGCGGTGCATGTTATTGGCATATCGTTGACACTTATCGCACCTGGCTACAAAGTTTTCTGCTTTTCTTCTATTTTTGGCCAATAGTATCCTGCTCTTATTAAAGTCTTTACCAATGATTTTCTCCAGAATGATTGCCGCAGTGCCTCTCATGTACTTCCCTCATCATATATTCCTTTTGTGAAGGTCTGAGACATCATGCCAAAGGTCCTCTGAACAACTTTCGGTATAAATTTCCTCGTATTAAGCAATACCGGGCGACTTTTTGGCGAAGTAACTGTGACTTCTTCTTGTCTTCGAGTAAGAGTCCATACTGCAAAAAGTTAACAAACTCGTTTCTCCAATCCCAAGTTAGATTATTAAAACTTACCTCATTTTTGTCTTGGTTGAGTGCCGAATGAAACAAATGTATTACAATAGCATTTTTTGGAGTTTTTATTTCTGTAACAGATGCGAGATTGGCCAGCGCATCTACTTCCGCATTCTCCTCCCTGGGTATTTGTACGGCCTTCCCCGACTGAAATTGTCTGACTAATACCCCTACTTTTTTCAGATATTGTTGCATTCGTGCCTCTTTTGCTATGTACGTCTCCTGCATTTGGTTAACAACTACCTGCGAGTCACTTTTGATTAAAATCTATTCTATGCCAAGTTCTCGTACTATTTCCAAACATATAATCACAGCTTCGTACCCTGCTTCATTGTTAGTGATGGGATAACATTTTATTGTTTGTCTTATGACTTTCCCTAAAGGCGGAATTAAAACAATACCTAAGCCTGCTCTGTTAACATTCGAGGAACCATCAGTAAATTAAATCTATGTCCCCGGATTAGATCCGGTAAATACCTGTATTTCCTTTTCTGCTTCAAGAACTAAATTTGTGCTGAAATCTCCTATGAAATTTGCTAAAACCTGCGCTTTTATTGCAGTTCTGGACTGATATATGATATCATACTCACTGAGTTCTATTGCCCACTTAGCTAACCTACCAGATAGTTCTTTTTTATGCAATATATTCCTCAGGGGGAAAGAAGTTATTACAGAGATAGGATGACATTGGAAATAAGGTCTCAGCTTTCTAGATGCCATAATTAATGCTAAAACAAGCTTTTCTAGATGAGGATATTGTGTCTCAGCGTCTAACAAATATTTACTAACATAATATATTGGAGATTATTTACCTTTATCCTCTCGTACCAACATCGCGCTTACCGCCACTTCTGACACAACAAGGTAAATAAGCAGTCTTTCTCTGTCTTTTGGTTTGGCTAGCAAAGGTGAATTTGACAAATACTAGTTTAGGTCCTTGAGGGCTTGTTGGCATTCATCAGTCCATTCAAATTGATTCTGTTTTTTCAATATTGAAAAGAATTTAAATCTTTTTTCCGATGATTTTGAAATAAACCTTCCCAGGGCTTCTATTCTTCTTGTTAATCTCTGTACTTCTTTTTTGCTTGTGAGTACATTCGATATTCCTTGATAGCTTTGATTTGTTCAAGATTCACTTCAATACCCTTGTTAGAAACAAGTAAACCTAAAAACTTACCTGAAGCCACGTCAAAAGCACATTTTTTGGATTTAGCTTCATATTGTATTTTTGAAGAATCTGAAAAGTATCTGACAGATATTGAAAATGATCTCACGCTTGTGCTGATTTGACTAGCATATAGTCAATGTAGACTTTCATAGTCTTTCCCAGATGTTCTTGAAATATTTTAGTCACCAATCTTTGGTATGTGGCTCCAGTATTTTTTAGACCAAATGGCATGACTTTGTAACAGTAAGTCCCTCCCTATATGTGATAAACGAAATTTTTTCTTCATTTGTAGGATCCATCTTTATTTGGTTATATCCTGAATATGCATCTAAAAAACTTAACAGCTTATGTCATACGGTAGAATCAATTAGTTGATCTATATGCGACAAAAAAAAAATCTTTAGGACAAGCTTTATTTAAATCAGTATAATCTACACAAACTCTCCATTTCTCATTCTTTTTTAGAACTACCACAGTATTATCTAACCAGTTAGGGTATTTTACCTCTCATATTGACCCAATGTTTAAAAGCTTTTGTACTTCATCTTGGATTACTTGATTTTTGAAGGATCCTTGATTCCTCTTCTTCTGCTTGACAGGTGGATATGATGGGTCCTCATTCAGTTTGTGGGACATCACTTTCGGTGGTATACCTGCCACATCTGAATGCGACCAAGCAAAGCAATCTGCGTTAGCTTTTAAAAATTCAATTAACTTACCTTTTATTTCTAGGCTTAGGTTTGCGTCGATGTAAACTTTTCTGTCTGGCCAGTGTATAAATAGCACCACCGCTTCGAGTTTTTCGGTAGTTGTCTTAATGTTTTCATTTTCTTCTAGCTCTTGAATAACATTAGGCCTTGAATCAACATCAGTTTGTCCTGGAATGCCTTCAGTTGAGGTTTTTATTACGACGTCCTCAACTGGATTCTGTAGTTGCTATTTCTCGCCTGCGACATTGTTTATCGTGCTTGTAGCCACCACTGAATTGATACCTCTAGAATCTTGTTGATCTCCATGGATTTGATGAATCCCCCACTGTGAAGGAAATTTAATAACTTGATACAATGTGGACCGGTACATCATCCATATTGTGAATCTATAGTCCTCCCAGAATTATATAATAAGCCATGTCTGCATCTATCACATGGAACTTTGTGTCCTTGATAACCCCTTTTGCAAACGTAGCAAGCACTAGTTTCCCTTTTGTGATAGCGCTTGAATTATACAATCCAGACAAAGACCATGCCTTTGGTATCACCTTGTCGTTAGCTTGAATTTCATTCATCGCCCTTAGTAAAATGATATTCATAGAACTACCTGGGTCAATCAAAACTCGTTTTACGTTAGTATCGTGTACAAGTAGAGATGTTACTAGTGCATCATTGTGAGGAATCATCAAGCCGTCCACATCTTCATCATCAAATGTTATACTGTCTCCATCCAAGACTTGGCGAACTCGCTTCCTATGAGTGACTGTGACTTTTGATGTCTTTTTTGCAGCTGTATATGTCACACCATTGACCTCGTCTCCCTTGGTTATTACATTAACTGGTCTTTTTAGAGATGGAGGTTTTGGGGGTTCTTGTTTGTTTTTCATATATGATTGTCTACCTTTCTCGTTGAACATGTCAGTTAGATAACCTTGCTTCAACAAATGCTCGCCTTCTCCCTGTAGTAACCTACAATCTGCTGTTCTGTGTCCATCATCGTTGTGAAATTCACATCAGAAATCTGGATTTCTTTTGCTCGGGTCTGATCTTATTTCTTTAAGCCATCACACCTTATCTCCCACACCTCTTAAAATAGCTACCAACTCGGAGGTACTGACATTAAAACTGTAATCTCCAACCCTCGCATGTGTATTAGAGTCGATGCCTCGTGCATCCCGTTCCTTTCTGAATCTAGATGAAGAACCTACATCTTTTTGCCTTAATCTCGATTCAGATTGTATGTTTTCTTGTTTAGACCGAGAATCGCGACCTGCAGGTCCTATGTATGGCTCATACCTGTTTTTCTGGTCCTTTTTTCTGATTCTGATTGTCTCGATTTTGCTCTTTTATCAACCCTTGGTTGTGCAACCGTATCTTCTTCTGTCCGCAGCTTCGTGTTGTATCTGTTATACACGTCATTCCAAGTTGTTGCTGGAAATTCTCGAAAACTTTCCTTCAGTCTCCTCATGGATTCCGAACTTTTCTCGTTTAGAGTGCTTGCGAATGCCATGGCTGCCCAGTTGTCAGGTACCCGTGGTAACATCATCCTCTCCCGTTGGAATCTATCCATATACTCCCTAAGTAATTTCGTATTTCGTATTTCCTAGTTTTACCTTAAAGATGTCTTCTATCCCTTTTTTAACTTTCTGAGCTCCCGAATGTGCTTTTATGAATGAATCTGCAAGCTCAGCAAAAGAATCAATAGAGTTTTCGGGTAAAAGAGAATACCACGTTAATGCTCCTTTCGTGAGCATTTCACCAAACTTTTTAGCCAAAACTGATTCGATTTTCTGCTTGGTTAAGTCATTGCCCTTCACACCAGTTGTGAACGCAGTTACGTGATCTCGAGGGTCAGTTGTTCCATCATATTTTGGAAAATTAGGAATTTTAAACTTTTTAGGAATCGGCAAAGGAGCTGCACTTGGCTTCTAGGGCTGCTGTGAATATTTATCAATATCTACCTCTTTAATCACAGGCGCTACGCCAGGTATTTGCTTTATGCAATCATTTTGCTCTTTCAACTGTTTCTGCAAAATTAGTACCATACTTTGTAAATCAGAATTATTTGGTGTACCTGACCTTCCATCACGAGATTCATTGGGAGTTCCTCCACTTCCAGAATTGTCGAGCTCCGAGCGTGGGTTTTCTATGGTTGTGGTATTGACTGCTGGAGGAGTTTGTGGCACAGTTGGCAATCCCCTAACAAAGGCTTGAAGAGCACTGTTCACGTGTTCTGCAATCAATTGATTTAAAGCGTCTTGTTCGACAGTTTGTTCGTCCTCTTGTTGATCATTCACGTGTGACGTAGATCTTTTAGGTGACCCCTCACGGGACTGTTGAGGAGATCCTTGTAGAGAGAGGAGTGGCGAGTTACTCCCTCCTATGGGTTCAACTGGTTATTATCATTAACAGTCGACATAGTTGGTTGTCAGAGAAAAAAATTTGGAAAGTGAAAAGACTATCAGATTCCCGGTAACAGAACCAATTTGTTTAACCAAAAAATAAATTTCTCGATCAAAGTCTATATTTAGAAGAAAACGGGTTACTGATGACCAAGTTTTACTTCACTTTCACAATAATATTTAGGAAAATAATAAAAACGATAGAGAAAATTGATAAAGAGAAGTAAGGAATGAAACGATAGTCAATCCCTAAAATCAAGGTTGTAAACTTTGATAAAGCAGAGAATTATAATATGTATTTCAGTAGTAGTGGTAACTTGTCCTTAAAAATAAAATTATGTATCCTTATATAGGAGTATACAACTATAACGATTTTCTCACATAATCTAAATTCATTATGGGCATTAATTGTATTGATTGCTCAATACCTCAGATAGTCGTAACTGGCATATTTATTGCTATAAATGTCTTATAACTACTCCGATTCCCCTTCCTTATTTACTTCTGGTTCATGTATCTTCCCTTCTTTTTTATCCTTATTCATTCCGTCCTCGCCTTTTCTTTGACAACTTTCAGGTCCTCTCTTCTTTGTATTATCTCGTGGGTGTTTTTCCTATGCCTTCCTCGTATTCTTAATTCTATTAATTGAGAATGTCATTTGTCGCTATATCACTGCTCCATACGTCATACTTCGTCAGCATACTAACATTCTACGTGTAACACTTTTTTTCCCACCAATACACTAGCTCCGTCCAACTTCATCTTGGATGTAATAAAAATGACCTGGAAAGAGGTAGCCAAAATGCAGATCTTGGAGAAGTTAATTTTGAAAAGACATCGTTTTTACTGTTTCCTGGTGACTGGAATTCATATAACAATAAAAACAATAAATGAATAAAAGACTAGTGGTTCTTGGATTGGTTCAGAGAGTGCGTCGTACATAATGTTATTACGATTCTTTGTAAATGTTGAAAAATGAAGCGACATGGAAGAAGCTGCGGTAATTAAACTATTTTTCGATTCATCGCAACAACATTGTCGGTTTGTTTTAATGGTGGAAAGAGCTAGGAAGATCAAGATGAAGGGGCGGGGTTGTATAAAAATTTATTTTTATTTTTAGCTTATTAAAGTATTTTTGAATTATTTCAGATGCCACGTGGTGATATTCCATTGGCTTATTTTCCACGTCAAAACGTGTTGTCTATAGTGTCTAATAGACATATTTTACATAGAATAGGTTCGGGCCTTTTCGGGTGGGTCTGGATATTAGTGAGAAAATGGGTTAGGGTTGTTTAAAATGCTGTCATGTGTCCACCCAGAATGGGTTCGTTGAATGAAGGGGTAGATATATTTAAATAGATAGTTGTAGGGGTAGATAATGTCGAGTAATACAACGAGGGGTACATATTAACTAATATTTGATAGTACAGAGACATATATAGACTTTTTCCACTAACATAATCTTTCACCAGACTTGGAAAAACTCCAGACAAACATAAGTATAACAACAATAGTCAATTTTAAGTCCATCTGCTGGCCAAATCAAATGAAGGGCAAAAACCCCTTTGTTCTCCTCCAAAATTGTGGAATACGAAAAATTCTAAATTAATTGTAGGGAAAAGGGTCAGGTATCCCTGTACTATTGAAAAATAGTGTACATTTACCCTATATTATATTTTCTGTTCAAATCTACCTCTACCGTTAGCAAAGTAAACAAAAACACCCCTATCATTAACCGTTGTCCATAGTGGCAGGGGGCCATCAATATTTAAGCTTAGGTGGAGTTCATGTCATTATTTTTTTACAATATATTTTAAAATAAATGACTAAACCTACTCCTTCCTTAATTAAAGTCTTCTTTTCCTTTAATGTCTACCACGATTGAAATCTAAGGAATTTATTTTTTAATTCCATAGGAAATTTTGCACAAACGCGAACTGTGCATGAAAGAATGTTCAAAATAAAAAATTGTACAACTCAAATTTGAGTTCATGGATTACACTCTGTTTCCACTACCTTTCTCCCTCACAAAAATCTCAAATAGGTCACGTCTCAACGCCCCTTTAAGAATCTGTTCTAATAATATACTACTTCCTCGGGCCCATGATTTTTTTAGCTTTTTTATTTTGGAATAAGTGTATTTTTTATATAATTAAGAATGAATTAACTATAGTTATTTAAATTTGCGCTTATTTACATATTTCAATGTGTCAAGTTAACAATATGCAAATTTTAATTAAGGTTAATTTAATCAAGATACTTATTTTCTAAGACTTACTATTTTCTTAATGGATGTGTCAAATACCAAAAAGTTACTTATTATGAACCGGAAGGGGAGGGATAATATTTTTTGGGAAAGTGATAAATTTGCCACCATTTAGAATTGAGCACAACTTTGCCCTCCATTTAACTTTTGATTTAATATTATCCTGCAATCAAAAAATATTTTATTTTTGCTTTTGACCTCTAACGAAGTCCCAATACAATAAAACAACAATAACATACCCAATAATATTTCATATAGTGGGATCTGGGGAAGGTAAAAGTTCCAATGAGAATAACTTTTAAATAATTAAAAGTTGAAGCGTAACTTTAGATTTTTTTCTTGGAAAATATGAACACATGAAGGGTGTGTTTGGTATGAAGGAAAACATTTTCCGAAAAATATTTTTCAATTTTCTCATGTTTGGTTGGCTTAAATATTTTGGAAAATATCTTCCTTATTAGAGGAAAATGTTTTCCAATTGGAGGAAAATTTTTTCCTTATCAAGAGAAAGGAAAAATATTTTTCAAAACTCTTTGTCAACCTTCCCCGCCTTCACCAACCCATCCCACCCCCTCTCTCCAAAAAAGGCTTGTTTTTTTCAAATTTCAATTTTTTCATTACCACCCACCCTACTANAGTTTAGAAATTATAAAATTTACGGGTTCGAAATTTCGCAGTTTTGAAAGTTTAGCGGTTTGAAAGCTTATGAAATTTGTGGTTTTGGAAGGTTGTTGGTTTGAAAGTTTATGGCTTCATGTTTATTATATCTAAATTATTTATGAATACTCTTGAGAAGTCATTTTCCTTAATTGTGTACCAAACACTAAAAAATAAATAAGATTACTATTTATTTTCCAAGAAAACAATTTCTTGGAAAATATTTTTCGCAAAAAACATTTTCCATTGTACCAAACACAGTCGAAGTCCATCCATTTTATATTGGAATTACGTTTATGTCAATCATAAATACGATATAACTTACTAACATGAAAATATCAATGGACCAATTAACAAAGGTCAACATTGATTAATATGTCCCCGTACTAAAAAATTTATTCTGTGTCTCAAACAACTAACACTAATTGTATGAGGCTTCTTTTTGTTTAAAAAATTTGTGGACTCCAATCTTATACTTCTGGGTTCATAAAATTATGAGATAAAAATATTACCTCATACAACTAGTGTCAGTTGTACGAGACACAGAATAAAAATTTTTGTACGGGGACATATTTGAACCGTTTTTCTTTTTCCAATGTAAAAAGAAAAAAAAAGAGAGTGAAAGAGTTAGAGACACAATATTAAAGCTCTTTTAAAATTATTTTATTTATAGGGAAAAGAAAAAGAAGGAGAAGAAAAAAAAGAGGAGAGGATTAGAGGAAGAGATAATATAAGAAGGATATCCTCATTCCTCCCTCATCTCTTTGTGTTATCCGAACACAGTGCTCTGTGCTTCTCACCAATGTCTCTAACTTCTCCTCTCCTTCAACTTCCTCTCTCCCAATTCAAATCCCTTTCCCTTTCCACCCCTTTCATTAATGGCTCCTCTTCTCTTTCCCGTCTATCTAAACCCTCTTCATCTATCACTTCCCCAAACCCTTCTCCCCCAGCTTTCTTGCCTCCAATTCGAGCCATGAGATCAATGCAAGGCCGTGTCGTCTGCTCCACAAATGACAAAACTGTTTCAGTGGAGGTTACCCGTCTTGCGCCTCATCCGAAATACAAGCGTAGGGTTAGGAAGAAGAAGAAGTACCAAGCTCATGACCCTTTGAACCAATTCCAAGTTGGGGATTTTGTTCAGCTTGAAAAGACTGCTCCCATTAGCAAGACTAAGGCTTTCCTTGCTGTACCTGTACCTCCGAGAAACCAGCCCAAACCCAAGGAGGAAGACGGGCAGGAACTTGG